AACCCTAGTAACCCCAAGCCTGTCACCCCAACATACCACCACAGGGACAATTTTTCCTGGGGGGTCTTAGTTTACAACAACCCCTCTGGATAATTAGAACCACCCCTGAGAATGATCACACCTGCCACACAACTGCTACTGGCACAAAAAACCTGCTGAGGAGCTACTGGCACCTATTGATATGAAATACATATTTCCCCAATCCCTGGGAACCCCAAGCCTGTCAGCCCAACATATCCCCACTGAGAAAATTATTCCTGGGGGGGTCTCAGTTTACAACAACCCCTCTTGATAATTAGGGCCACCCCCACACACCTGCTACTGGCACCAAAAGCCTGCTCAAGAGCCACTGGGATCTTTTGGGCATGAAATACATATTTCCCGAACCCTACTAACCCCAAGCCTGTCAGCCCAACATACCACCACAGTGAAATTATTCCTGGGGGGGTCTTCGTTACAACAACCCCTCTGGATAATTAGAACATATTAGGACCACCACCCCTGAGAATTACCACACCTGCCACACAACTGCTACTGGCACCAAAAGCCTGCTCAGGAGCTACCGGCACCTATGAAATACATATTTCCTCAAATCTGAACATATGGTTGTCCTATGTTTTCTTTGGTTTTGTACATGGCCAGTGATTGCTAGCGTCTTATATCCCTTATATATTTTTGTGGTTTCTTGTTTGAGCCTCTCACTCGGCGTCCAGCTGCTGACTTCAGATCAGACATCATCAGAGACTTTTCTTGAAAATTATTCCAGGGGTACCTATGACTCTATGACCACCCCTTGTATAATAAATTAGCCCAGCTGGAGACCCCAATAGCAAGATACAAACCGGGACAAAAAGAAAAATCTGGAAACAGCTGCTGTTTTCAACACATCGACCATCTCTTCCTTGGACACCATCATCACATAACCGGGACACCATCACAAAATGACCAGGGCACCATCAAAACATGACTGAGACACCGTCACAACATAATTGGGACACCATCACAACATAACCGGGACACCATCACAAGGTGACCGGGACACCAGCATGACATGACGGGGACACCATCACAACATGACCGGGACACTATCACAACATGACCGGGACACCGTCACATGACCCGGACACCATCAAAACATAACCGGCACACCGCCAAACCATGACCAGGACACCATCACAACATGACCGGGACACCATCAAAACATGATCGGGACACCGTCACAACATGCCCGAGACACCATCACAACATGACTGGGACACCGTCACAACATGACTGGGACACAATCACAACATGACCGGGACACCATCACAAGGTGACCGGGACACCAACATGACATGATGGGAAAACCATCACAAGATGACCAGGACACCATCACAACATGACCGGGACACCGTCACATGACCCGGACACCATCAAAACATGACCGGGACACCGTCACAACACGACCAGGACACCATCAAAACATGACCGGGACACCATCACAACATGACCGGGACACCATCACAACATGACCGGGACACCATCAAAACACGACCGGGACACCATCACAACATGACTGGGACACAATCAAAACATGATCGGGACACCATCACAGCATGACCGCGCCACCATCACATGATCGGGACACCATCAAAACATGACCGGGACACCGTCACAACACGACCGGGGCACCATCAAAACATGCCCGGGACACCATGACCGGGACACCATCACAACATGACCGGGGCACCTTCAAAACATGACCGGGGCACCATCACAACATGACCGGGACACCATCAAAACATGCCCGGGACACCATCAAAACAGGACCGGGACACCATCACAACATGATTGGGTCACAATCAAAACATGATGGGGACACCATCAAAACATGACCGGGACACCAACATCACATGACCCGGACGCCATCAAAACATGACCGGGACACCATCCGCCCACCAGCTCTGACGGTGACCCGACAGCGCCCGTCCGCCTATTAGTTTTGCAAGACCCCATAGCATGGCTATTGGGGAATTAATCCACTAAAATTACTTCATTTTAGTTATTCAACTATCCCACAGGCCCCCTGGAATAGTTAAACAGGCCAAACCCTATGCGGAAAGCTCTGAGTCCCACTTCCCGAAACATGTCTCCCACCCAGCCAGTACCCAAGACCACCCCAAAGCTCCACAACAGTTACACAAGGTGGGGGAAGTACAGGGATTTCTGTGGGATTTCTCTGGACATGAAAAACTGCGCAACTTCGACATGCCTCAGTGGAATGAAGGTAGAGCACTCGATGCTGGCCAAGTCGGTGCAGTGCCGCTTCGGCTGCCTTGTGAAAGCCGGCCTTGGGATCGGAGTCAAAGCCTCTTCATTGGCAGCGTGAGGGACATGTATGGAACCACCTGTGAGACATCTGGCAGACATCTGCAGGCTTTTATCCAGTCTCAAAACTTGGATCTTGCAGCTGACGACCTTGAGTCCTTGAGCTTCTATTGGCAACAAGAAGGATACCATCGGCCTCCGACGTGGAGAAGAGGTCAACTCCTTCGTCATCCTGTTCGTCATTCTTCAGGAGTGTAGCTCCAATCTTCTCCAAGCATTCGACTTCCGCCTTTGAAAAGTCAACCAAAACATACATCAAGGAAAGAAAGGGCAAAAGAATGGAAGATCCAAATCCGGTCCAAGTTGAAGAAGGTACCAATTGTAGCAACATCAAAGAATACAGCGGTGCTTGTGCGGAGCATGTCTCAAAGGCCTGTCAATGTCACGCTCTAGACGGCACCTCGTTGAGGACAAAGCTCAGCACGGCTGCTTGGGTGGCCTCCACTTCAGCGCGTGTCATGCGCAAAGGCCACGCGGCTGCACTCCAGGAACTCACATCCTGCAACGTAGTGGATAGAACTGTGATATTCGTGTCCGGACAAATACATGTTTTAAAGGCCGCTCTGTCGCCCTACTTAGAGGCAATGGGCTCCAACCCAATAGCGATGGCCTCCAACCTACTAGCGATGGCCTCCAGCCTATGTAGATGACGTGAAATAAAACTACATCCTAGAAAGAGCGAGTTGGAATTGAGACTGGCAAGCCATCTCGTGCAAAAAAAGATCTTCCGACCTTCCGAACAAGAAGTTGGTCCTTGCCGAATGGAGGAACCACAAAGACACCCCAGCCTGACTTGGCCAATGAATTCCCAAGATCAAAAAACGTTCACGCTAGGGACTCTGTCTCTGCCAAAGCCACGTTCCAAGTCGCGACAAACGGGCCAGCAAAGTTCGTTGGTACTTGCGAACAAAGCCTCAACAAATGAAGACCAAATGCCCACTTGAGTGCCACAAAAACGATTACCCCGGCATAGACCCCAAATAGCGAGCGCATGGCTTTAGAGGACACGCCACGGACGGTTGTCACCGCAGCACGCAACATCAGACCAGTCCAGAATGCGCCCACTTTGCCCAACACAAACGTAAGACCGTAAGACTGTAAGATCGGCCAGGACCAGCCAAAGCTGCCCAAACAACATTATCACTGCTGCACAACACGTTGGCATGCGCAATGTGGCAGCATGTCATCCCTGGCATGACGTGATGTCTGTTCTGGGCATGACTCCATGATGTCATCCCTGGCCTGACATAATGTCGTCCCTGGCATGACAGGAAAGGGTCAATGTGTCAGGGCACCATCACCACCACCAGCACGGCAGCAGCACCCGCAAAACCAAAACGCCGATCCACAGCCACACCATTGAGAAGTTAAAACTCCTGTAGCCTGCAGCTCTCTGGGGAAAAACAACCACGACATCACTGCCAGTGTTCAAGGAGAACGGTTTTGACACCGCACAAAACGTGTCTCGTTCCGCCCAGGCCACATCAGGTTCAGTGAAGTCCACCGCCGAGTCCAAAGACCTCAAAACGATCCAATATCCAGCATCTAAGAACCTGCCGCCTTTGGGGATCAGGTTGAAAAACATTGAAAATCTGCCTTTGAGCATCTTCCGTGGAAAAAAGGATCGACCTCCCGAACTCAAAACCGTGAGTTCGGTGCTCGACACAGGTGACCACTCGTAGCTGGCGCGAGACTCCCAGCTGCCATTCCTTCGGGTGTCGATACTTCGCTGAAGCCCAAGAAGCTGAAGCAAAATCCCATTGCTATTAGGTGGAGGCCATCGCTAGCAAGTTCCTTCCCTTCTTCCCTTCTTTCTTCCTTTCTTACTTTCCGTTGCGCTGTGATCCCCCGAAGGCCGTTAGGCCGTTGTCCCTGCTCCCCGTGATCAAGATTCTACGATGAAAACGAAACACTCCCAGAGAATACAAGAGATATGGATTGAATTCGAAAAAAGCTCTTCAGGCTTGGGGGGGGTTGAATTATCGTCGACTATGATCATCTGAATCAACGTCCTTCCGGCCTGGTGAAGCCATCTGGCCAAGCGAACCAGGCCGTGAGCCGTCAAGAAGGCCAGCGCAACGGTTGCGGCAGGAAGCTCCTGAGTCTCTTTTCGCAACACCACGTTGCATCTTAGCGATGCCCTTGTTACGTTCGTAGCTTCTTGTTCCTAGTAGCGATGCCAGGAGCCCGTAGTAGCGTCTTTGCTCCTAGTAGTAAGGCCAGGAGCCCCTAGTAGCTTCTTGTTCCTAGAAAAAAACAGAACAATACATCAAGCTCAATGTAATTGTTGAATCTTCGGACACGACCAGAATTTGTCTATTTTGTCTTGTCAAAGAAAGACGCTACTAGGAACAAGTGCATCGCTTCTAGTAACAAGTGCCTTACTAGTAGTAACAAGGTTCGCTACTAGGGCAAACCTCTGCACGGGCCATCAAGACAAACACACAAGCTTCTTGTTACTACTAGTAAGGCCCTTGCTCCTACTAGTAAGGCACTTGTTACTACTAGCTTCTTGTTACTAGTAGCGTGGAACTTGTTACTACTAGCTTCTTGTTACTAGTAGCGCGGCACTTGTTACTAGTAGCTTATTTAATTAGTGTGGATAGCCGCCCTATGAAGACACCGAAAAGCAATGGCGAAATCACTCGGACGTTTTCCGTTGGGGCGTAACCTTGGCGTAAGGCCTGGTTCAGACCGTGGGGCCAGAATGGCCACAGCATTCGAAGGGGCTCAACCATGCATGCTTCACTCAACCTTTGACATCGATTCCGTTTTCTTTTTGCTAAAGGTGGCACAAAAAGGTTGAGTGGAAACACCATGGAAGAAGGTGACAAGAACTTCGGCAGGAGCACTAATCAGCGCATGCTGGTTGCTGAGCTCAGCAATCGTGACTCCCGCCTCCAAACGGTGCCAAAAGCTCTGCCCATCCTGGCAGAAGCGGGCGAAGGTGGTCCTACAGGGAAAATCAGCCTGGCTGAAACGAGGCTCGGAAGTCCGCATGGACTTTGCATTAAAGGCCACCTGAATGCCCATTCCGGCTTGGTGGCGCCAACCCCGGCGCTCACAGAGACTCAGGAGGTGCGGCAGCATCGGGTCTTCTCCATTCAGCTTTACTCCAGGCAGCTCAGCGCATGCTGTCGAGTTTGTCGAAGGCTTCGCCGATTTGGCTTTGTAGACCTGCTTTTGGAACTCTGGTGAGTATGAGATTGACCAGGTTCCGGCTGCGAGAATCTTTCTCAAATGCTCCAGACTCATCTGCTTCGTTCCGGCGTCGGCGAACATGTTGCTCGTTGCCGTCCACTTCAAGGCCGTGTTCGGCCTCCTCAAAAGACTCCTTAGCCAGGCGATGGTGAAAGCCATGCTCTTTTGCGATCCGAACGACGCTGTGTCGCTATTGACCTTGTCATAGACGTCCTTGGCGTCCACCACACCGGTCATCTTGACCGCATTCATGGATACATCAGCTCGGGTTCCGAGCGTGTCACGGCCAAGGATCGTGGCCAGGAATCCTCTTGCAAGCTGCCCTGCATCCAATGACTCCTCTGCCGAGAGGGTCTTAGCAGCATAGGTCGACCTGCAAACTCTCGGAATCCTGTGGGATCGAGCGTCAAGCACATTGAAACATCCAGGTCGTCCTTCAACCAAGGGCTGGTCGCCGAGGAGGATGAAGTGGCAGGCTTGAGAGTAGACTTGCTGAGTCGCTGTTCCTTCTGAGGATCCAGACAGCTGCACATTCCCCAAGGCGGCATCTGACACTGCCACCACACCACCCGACCGGTAGTCAATGGGTCGGAACACCAACTCAAAAGATCCCGTCCGCTTGAACTCGCGAACCAGCTGGTTTGCACGGAGGATCGAACCGATCGTTGGGGGGTTTTCTCCCTGGAGGCTAGAAACACCAAAAGCCAAATCAAATCTAAGCTGTGCCACAAGCCACTGCAAAGAGCCGAGGACAGCTCGAAGTTGCCGATGCTCAAAGGCGCTAAGCACAGCAGCGGGGTCAGACTTCCGATGCTTCGGGAGGTTGATCTCGGACAGGTTCTGGTGGTACTCGACCATGCTAAAACGAATGGCGCCGTCCAATGCGCGTCGAATGCGCTTGCCACACCAGGTGAAGTCATTCACGTCCTGGGAGCCGAAACCAAGCTCACTTCCAACCTTGTTCAGAGAGATCTCAGCGGCAGGGCTGCCGGTGAACAGCAAGTCGTCCACATGGGCCACAATCAAACCTTCCAAAGGCCTTATGCCTTTCAACTTGGCAGCCTCGTCTGGCTCACCCCACAAACACCACATAGCTCCATCAACCAAGGTGCGTTGCCATCCATGATCTTGAAGGCATCGCGAAAGGCGTAGCCACCATTCTCTGGGAGCATCAGCCAAACCAAAAATACCTTTCAAAACACGACACAACTGGCCGGGTTGCAAAGGCAAAGGTGGACTGTTCTTGGCATTGGAGTTGCAAATGTAGAGCTCACGATTGATGTAGGGGTCACCCTTCAGGAAGGCAGACTTGACGTCACTGGAGACGATGTTCCAGGAACCATGAAATGCGGCCACACTGAAGAGGATGTGCTGGGCATTGCGAGATCCAGTAGGAGCATCTCGCCGCAATTGACCTTCAAGATTGGTCCTGTCCTTGAACCCAGGAACCACCAGCCTCGAGGATGCCTTGACCGGCAAGGGGTTTGTCTCAGTGCGGAGTCCGTCATGTTTGTCCGTCAGGACGAAGCGAGGAACCAAGATGCGATCAAGCTCCCCGCGACGGCTCAGCTCTTTGCGAATCCGGCTGGATTCGTGCAATGAAAGGACCTCCACCGCAGAGTTGTCGATGTAGGCTTTCCAACCGGTCACGGCTGCTTCACCCCAAAGCTTCTTCTGGTGCTCGGACATCTTGCTCCACTGGTACTCTTTGCGGGCCGTCTGCAAGGCTAACACATCGTGCTCCGGAGGTGCACCTGAAGGAAGTTGGGCTCCAAGTCGATGTAGAAGCTGCCAGTCCCTTTCACATAGCATGCCCCATTTGCCGTCCCAAGAACTATGATCAGGCTCAGCAAACAAATCACCAACTCGGCGATCTGCATCCACCATAGCTTGTAGTCTAAGGAGAGGGTGGATGTCCTTATTTTCAGCCAAGTTCTCGAGTTCAGCATGGGTCAGCTCCAATGCTTCGAAGGCGGGCCTGGCAACGTCTGAGAACACTGTGTCTGCGCTCGGCAGTGGGTCTTCCGCCGGTCTCTTTGTCCCTCGGTCAGCAGTTTGTCCAGCGGCTTGTTCATCAAAAGCTCTTGCACGCTCCAGCGTTCTGGACATAGGTGAACCTGCCATAGGGCTCGTCAATCTCGAAGGTGCTTGAGAAGCCTGCAAAATCAGACTTGGCACCGGAGTTCCAGGCGCTGCTGTACCGGGTGCTTCAGTCGGCTCAGTTCCAGCATCATGCAAAGAGGCTGGGACGCTTCGTCCAACCATAGAAGGGACCACCGAAGCAGGCGGCTGTAGTGCTGCGACAATCTCATAGGGCTGCAGACCACCAGCAAGTGGTTCATTGCCTCTAGGCGAAGTGATTGCCTCCTCAATGGGTCCATCGGAAGGCGTGTACTCATTGGCGTCCTCCTCCCGACGAAGTTCATCCTTAGCAGCTGAGATCACCTCATCGATCGCAGCCTCCCAAGATCCAGCAGCAATGCTCTCGAGCGAAGATGCCTTTCTCACATGCTCAAATGGACATTTGGTCAACTGACCACGAAAAGAAATGAAACAATTGGCAGCGAGCTCCGTCCCATGGCGGCCTTCAGTGGCCACTAGAAGTCCTGGTCCATGCCAGCGTCGAAGAAGTAGCCGGCGTCGAGTTCCAGCTCCAACATCCTTGCGGGACTGGTACTTTTGAGCTCGCCAAAAGAAGACAAGATCTCCAGGTTGCGGTTGATCTTCCACGGTCGAAGACCTTGAGCGGGCCAGTTCAGCTTGGCGTAGTCCACGGCTGTAGTGAAGTCGAATCATCGAGAGACGTGAGGTCTCCCTGATCGCCAGCAGCTTGCTCAGCGTAGGCTTGGCCTCGATGAGGGAGTGCTCACTGAGACGAGCGTTGAAGTTGTTCAGAACATCTCCACCAGGGGCAGGAATTCGCCCAGTGACCAACTGGATTGGAGCGACACCGGCCTCGTTCAAGTCAGAGTTGTACGAGCTGACAGCTTCTCCAAGGGCCATCTCCATGTCCTCGAAGTTGCCGATGGCGTGGGCTTGGCAAATGGCGCCAACAAGTGCCTTCAGGGTAGCTCCCGATCGCTCACAGATGCCGTTTTGCCAAGGGGCACCAACTCCAATGTGGTAGAGGTAGATGCTTTTGCTGTCGCACCAATCACCGAATTCAGCTGAAACAAATTCTCTTCCTTGATCAGCAACAATGGTCTGAGGGCAACCAAGCAAAGGAAGCCAGTGAACCGTGAGAAAGTGGATCACCGACGCTGTGCTCTTGTCCTTGAGGATCCGGGCAGCCTGGTAGCGAGACACATTGTCAGTCGCGTGTGCCACCACATAGGGGTTCCGCATGGAATCTTCCAGGATGACCAAATCCAAATGAACTTGTTGTCCAACATCACGAGGTGCAGGAAGCGAAGCCACAGGTCGAGGCTTCGGGTTGCGCCGCTCGGCGCATACAGGACACTTCAGCCGCTTGGCTGCCAGCACAGCTTCCTTGGGAGCGCCACAAATCAGTAGAGCTCGTGCCAATCGTTGGTTGCTCCGATGACTGGTGTTCACATGAAGCCTGTAGACCGCATTCTTGATGGCAGCAGGAATAGGCTTCTCTTCATCATCTTTTGACAGCTCGAACGAAGCCTCGGAGTCCAAATCCTCCTCATCTCCAACGACCATCACCTCATGCTCAACAGACATGGCCTCAAACTCAGTCTCGGAGTGCTTAAAGGCCAAAGAGCGCTCGACGTCATACTGCTGCATGCATCCATCGATCACCGCATCGGAGAATTCCTTGGTGTAGTGACCTGCAGCAGCAGAGATTTGCTTACCTCCGATCACCGGAGTGTGAGGGTGATCTCCCAAACAGCGCTTGTTCAGGAAGATGGAGATCAAGGCTTGCATCGACGTGACAAGCTTCGTGGCTTTCTTGTGAAGTTCCCCGCCAGGTGCACGGAGATTGAACCTGCACATGTCCACAACCACCTTCAAGGCACCCGTGGATGTCACAAAATCCTCCATGACCTCAAGCTTCCATGCCATAGATGAGCGGGGGTTCTCCATCAAGTAGTGTCGCCCAGACTTCAATTGCAGCTGAGCGACTTCTATGGCAAAAGCAACAAGCTCATGTGCTTCGGCTCTCAGCTTCTCCAAGTTCACCGCGGCGTTGAGGGCCAGGAGCTGCGACCATGCACTGCAAGGGAAGGCAAGCACGACAACATAGGGCTTAGTCTTCTTTATCAATGCCAAAGCGGCCTTGCGATGTTCTGCAAGTCGGAAGTCCCATCCAGTCCCAAGAGTCAAGCTGTCCCCAGGGTTAAGGCCGCGACGTCGTGCTGCGTGAGCTACCGGTTCAGTGTCCGTGTAGACCTCGGCGATGAAGGTCGAAGGCAAACGAAGTTCCATAGCGAAGGTCTCATTGAGGGCCTCTCTCATCTCCATGTCCCAAGTCGCCATGAAGACCTCTTGAATCTCCTTGGAGCCAACGGACAAGGCAAGTTGGTCTCGTCGGTGTCGATGCCAGGCTTGGGAAATCATCTGACTGATGCCCTTCTTGAGCTTGCCATGAAGTTTGAAGTCCTCCTGGACAAGGTTCAATCCTTGGTGAGGTCCACAGCCATCTCGCCGGCTCCTGCCGGTCCCATCTCCGAAGGCAGTGGGTAAGCTCCTGTGGTCGCCGCCAATGGTGGGCCCTGGCTGACTGCTTGAAGAACTTGTCCCAACATCGCCTGAAAGCGGCTGTCCTGAGCCTTCATGGCCTCCTGAACACGAAGCTCCATGTGGTGCAACTCGAGGGAGAAGGGGCATCCTTCCTCCTGGCGTTCCTTCACCGGCTTCCACGGCTGACCATGTAGACGAAGTGGGCGTCTTCGATGCCAAGGGGTCCAAGCGCTCCACACGAAGTTGCTCGCTCGTTGAAGGCGGTGCCTTGTTCTTGAGGAGCTCGACCAAGGGGCGAATCCGGGCCTGCAGCTGCGGCACGGTTTCCTTTGGACCAGGGTCCAAGTTGAGCAAGAGCGCCAACTTCACCAAGTCGCTGCGCAATGAAGGCAGTCCACCGCGAGGTCCAAGAAGCTGCCGCGCCATGATCTCGCGATCCATCTCCGCAGACTCCTGAGCCACGCGAGCTTTGGTCTCTTCCAGTGCAGCAGCCCTCAACTTCTCTCGCTGACCCTTCTGAGCACGGGCAGCGATGAAGCCAGCGAGCAATCCATCCTCCAGGAATGCAGTCTTCCAGCCACAGCGATCCCTCAAGCGGCCCAACTCGATCAGGTTCTCCGCAGTAAAGCTCCCGGCTTCCAAGGCAAGGTGATGATGCCGCCGGCTCAGGGTGTTCATGTTGACCATGGACTGCGCCTGAAGCAACCATTGCTCCACAGAACCAATCGAGGGATACGGAAAGGGCAAGAAGCGCAAATGCGATCTTGAAGCGAACTGGATGAGGATGCTCTGAGCGTGCCACACATTGCGGCTCATCAACCGCAGCGCAAAACGGTTCCACCGGTAGGGCACAAAGCCCCGTGGGTGCTCCTGCTTGAAGGCCTTCACCAACGACGGAGTCAACGGCTCGAGGGGGCCGGACTTGGACATCTTCAGCGGTTGGGTCGATGTCGGAGGTGAGGTCTCCATGATCAGGTACTTGAGGTCGTCCCGCAAGTAGTCGTTCTGGTAGTCCGAGAAGTCGTCCGTGAAGCGAGCGTGCCAAAAGGGCAGTCATGCTATGAGCCAAAGGCAAAACGTGAACTGCAAATGACTCATGCCACCTCAAGGAACCCTTCCCGGCTTGAAGACTGGTTTCCGTCAACAAATGGTCGTGACTAGGAACTGCACCAAAACAACCTTCAGCGACACGACGTTCGAGCCACGATCGAGGGGTGAGTTGAAGTTCAACTACTCCATCAAGCCCACATCGCCGCCATTTCCCAGGTCCTAGCCTCGGCCAAGTGGTGGGGATCATCTCCAACATGAAATGGCCGGCGGCCATTTGCTTGAGCTCTAACCTGTGTTGAGGGTCGTCAAAAAGTGAGGTGCAGTGCAAAGTTCGCTGGCCAAAATCTAAAACAGCTCCAAGGGCATCCAAAACATCACATCCAAGTAAACAGCCCAGCGAAGGGATGGGGACCTCGTTGATCCAAACCAAAAACACACGGCCTCCAACGCATGCTGGGAGCCTCCAGCGCTTGCTGCTGATGGCCAGACCTCCGTTCCCAAACTTGAACCGTTCAGTCTCTTCGATGCTTTGGAGCAGGTCACGAATGAAGGGTGGTGCGAACTCAAGCTGCTCAACATAACTCGATAGCCAGGTTGGACCGGCACAGCTTCTGTTGCAGGCGCTGTCTAGGGCGCCAACGAGGTGCTTCTCAGTCGCCAAGTCCTGCGCCGTGCTGGACATGAGGGTGGAGTTGAAAGCATTCGCAAGGGACTGCTCGAACGCTTGTTCCAAAGACATGGATGAACTCCCACGCAAAACCATATTGACCTCATGAGGGGAACCAGGGTTTTCCGGAGGTGAGGATGTACTCGATGGTGAAGGTGCAAGGGGCTCAACATGCTCTGCTTGGAATGCCTCCGTCACCCGAACTTGGCGGACTTTTGCTTTGGCCTTGGCGGCTGGAGCTGGGCCTTTTCGGCCTAAGCCTGCACCAGGCTTCGGGCATTCCTTGTCGCCTGCCCAATGACCATGCTGATTGCAATCGAAGCATGGATGCTTTCCTGAGGCCTTTCGGGCCGCTGGAACACCGGCATTTTGCCGTCCACCTCCAAGAGCTCCAGCTTTGCCAAAGCCACGATCCTTGCGGACCTCTTGCAACCGACTCTTGGCCTCCTTCATCGTGACAAGGGCCTCTGCGGCTTGCTCAAACGAAGATTCCATGTCTTCCAACAGGGCAGGGTCAACTCCCTGCTCTTCAGCTTCCTGAAGCTCTGTCGCCAGTACCTCAGCCTCGGACTGGATAACCTCTTCAAGGTTTCCTTCATAGGCCGTCTCGCCGGAGGGCTCTCTTCCATCACGGTCTCAAGAACCTCCTCAGGCTGTTGGTCCGGCGGGTCATCAGCTTCAGTCACATAGGCACGTCTCGTGCTGGTAGAATTCGAAGATCGTGCCGAGGTCGCCGCCGAGAACATAGACGGTGATCGGCTGATAGTCGAAGCCGAAGACGATGGACCCCTCGAACCCTGAGATTGGAAGAGCCGTCGAATCGTCAGCTTGGGCCGATCACCACGATCAAAGCGACGAAGCGGATCATTTTGATGAAGATCCTTGAACAGCCGAAGACATTCGGCCTCAACCACGCTGTACTCTTCACGGCCTGCGAGGGCCGTCTCAAGCAGCTGTTGCCTCAAGCTATCAAGGCCAAGTTTCTGGCGAAGGAACCAGCCTTGTTCAGAAGGCTGGATGGTGACCCCTTCAGCAGCAAGATCGGCAACTAGCGACCGAAAACGGGTGCAAAACTCAGCAACTCTTTCATTTGGGGCCCTCTTCAATTCCAAATAAAACATGTTTCGGAGCTCTCCACGTTTGTCCAAAAGGGACTGACCATTGATGCCTTCGAGAGCCGTGAGCAACTTGTTCAACCCAAACAAATAGTCCGGTGGGGCCACCTCTATGGATTCACCAGTTGTTGGGTCATCATATACCTCAGCAGGCTTGAATTGCAAATCTTGGGGGTTGAATTCCTCCCCTCGCTGCCGCACGATCCCAGTTTGCCTCATGAGCCACCGTGCGGCGAGGTTGTAGCGAGAGGTCGCCTGCAAGTCAAGGCTGCTGACCCACCATGTCATCTCCCTTCGAAAGGCCCGCCACGTAAGTGGCGAGCCGTCCCACGTAGGGACTTGATACCAAGCGCCCTTCTCATCGCCGCCACCGCTTCCGGAGGTGCTTGCCATCGGGACCCTCTTAGAGGAAAGTCAAGGCAAAGTCAAAGACGAAGTTCGGTGGCCGGCGAAGGTGAAAGCAGCAAAAGGTGCCGATGTTCGGCACGAGTGGAAACAGCGGATCGAAGCTTCCGTCCAACAAGTCCGGCGCTTGCCAAAACAAAAGGGTTCTGAAGCGAGATCCAAGGGGCTCTAGTGACTGGCGCTGCAAAGGTCCTGAAGCTCGAAAACCAGCAAGCTATGCTCCGCGTCACCACTGTGGATAGCCGCCCTATGAAGACACCGAAAAGCAATGGCGAAATCACTCGGACGTTTTCCGTTGGGGCGTAACCTTGGCGTAAGGCCTGGTTCAGACCGTGGGGCCAGAATGGCCACAGCATTCGAAGGGGCTCAACCATGCATGCTTCACTCAACCTTTGACAATTAGCATTTAAATTAGTTATTGGTTTGTTTTTTTGTCCTATTTTGTCACGTGGCGACTCTCTTGGGCTCCAGACATCGAGACCTTGAGCTACTCCTGCCAGAGTGCCCTGCCAAGCGAAGCGATGAGACCTATGTTATCCTATGTCTTTGTTACACCGTCGTCCATTTTGCACATATTCAGACTGGTTTAGGCTGTTGGGTAATTCTGCAAAAGCATTGAAGAAACTAAGGACATTTGAACATCTGACTCGATTCCACAAGAGAATGTGTGGCGAATCGGCCTGCGGTAGCCTCAGCATATCACAGCGCAGCCAGCTACAAAGCTTATCAACACCAGCGTCTCGCGCACGTGAGCGAGCAGCATCAATACACCTCGGCATGTGATGTTTTTCAACTGTGCGCAGCATCATTGTCACGTCTTGACGTGTCAATGCTCTCTCTATGACATGTCCCCATGACATTGTCCACTGTTCTTTCGACGGGACAGGTGCCATGGTTAACCTTCCTCTCCCGAGATCCGAGCGGGCCATCAATGTCAAGGCCAACGCAACGGCAGCCGCAACGACGAGCAGCCTATAGACGTTCTTCACAACTGAATATGCTTTGTATACTCAGGGCAACTTCTTGGGTGCTGCCATCAATGCCAGTCTTGATTCCAGCCTCAACAAGGACTATGCCATCGCCGCAGCCAAGGTCCCAAAGCACATCCTGTCAGTTCGTTCTGCTTTTTCCGCACTCGCTCCATATGAAGCGATCAGATCCGGTCTTCCGAGGGACCGGAGTTCAAAGGAACATCAAGAAACTCTACAACAACCTGGCTGAACTTGGCTGGAGATTCAGTTTCTGGATTTGCCAAGGTCACTAGGTGGATTTGCTTAACGTCCGCAGTGAAGGAAGTGCCACCAAGGGCCGCCGGCGAGTTTCGCATTCTGGTTCCGCTCCTTGCTTGTGGGGAGGGAAAAAATGCGGGAATGAGGTGTTGCCTTGGGATTGTCGTTACACTCGCTGCTTCGCGGTCCTGAGGTCCAAGACGTGCAGCTTGGAGGATATAAGGGATTCGCCCAGGAGCACATGGCACAAAGGGAGAGACTGAGAGTGGGCCAGCCGCACTGTCCTTGTGGCCAGAACTGCCAGCTGAAGGAAAGGAAAGGCAACAAGAACGGTCGAAAGAAATGAAGAGAGAAAGGTCTGAAGCGTCTGAGAACACTGAGGCGAAGCTGAAAGAATCTCCTCAGCATCTGCCAGCTTCTCGAGCTCATCTTTTCGCGACAACACATACCTCGACATGAACCCAACAACTTGGATCACATCAGCAAAAACACACACCCAGCCCACCACGAAGATAAAGCGTGGGGAGTCATGTCAATGTTAGGCCCTCAATTCCCAGCAACGCCAATACAGCCCCGAGCATATCTTCTAGAGCTTTAGAGCAATGTTTTGTGATCATATGCAGAACCTCCTGTGAGAAGCTCTTGGCAAGCTATTGATTTATCTATGATGTGGTCTTTACCCCATCTGATTCAAGCAACTTCTTCAGCAGCGCTGTCTGCTCATCTTCACAGGCGTCCACCATGACAGGAAATCCACCATGCGTCCACCATCTATGCTTGCTGTTTGTCTGTGCAGCGAGTGTTCGCTTTTCCAATTACGCTTCCACAAAACGAATACCTCCAAACCACAACAAGAAACAAGAAGCTAGTAGTAACAAGTGCCACGCTAGTAGTAACAGGTGCCTTACTAGTAGTAACAAGAAGCTATTAGATATCTGGCTGTCGCTTCTGCTCTGGAGGGTGAGAAACTCTGAGCGCTGACAACTCTGCCTGTTCATTATTTGCTGTCAGTAGAAGCTGCAAGAAAGCACCAAGTAGACTCACCGGCTCATCCTGAAATGCAAGGCGTCTCTCGCTATGTTGGGAGTCCTGGTGGTATGCCTAAGCTCTTGCATCTTTGGATCTGCATCTAGGTGAGCACCTCAGAGCCACTTGTTCCAGCTTGAAGTGACAGCCATGAGATCTTCAGCTGAGGCGGAGGCTTCGCTCTTTGATGGACGGTGGGCCTGGTGGTGCCTTCGACAGCTTCCGACTTACTTGAAGCCATTCGAGACTGAAACCCTTGAGCCTCTGCCATGGTGGATCAAGTGGATCAGTAACGCACCTCGGTGAGTTGAAGTGAAACGAATTGAAGGAAACCAAGTGTTTGAATCAAAACGTTCAATCAAAGGCTCATCCATCCTTGAAGTTGTTTTGAACTTTGAGCACGTTTCAAAAATTGTGTTTTGCTTTAGTGTCTCCTAGTTTTTGAAACCCTGAGGTGCCTGACAGGATAATCCGTCGAAGTGCTGCAAATGTGCTGTCTGGGCCGTATATGTGAAACAAATCTCTTGCTCCCCATGTCTAATTGAATTACAAGACTTATGGTTTTCTGACATGCTCGTTGATTTCGCCCTGGACCAGCATGTGAATGTCTTGAGCCCAGCTGAACACAAAACAAATGTGTTTCTGACGCCCGTGGAGAATGGCGTAGGTAGCATATACTGTACATAAGTTCACGACCTAAGGTTGGTAGCGTTCTTGTAAAGGAATAAACTGTGTACTTGTCGGCACTAATGTGGGCGACTGATGTCGACAAAGATTAGCATATATATTATAGTAATGTTTATGTCAACCATCTCTTTTCGCAGACATTGATTTTCTATAATTTTCTGTGCAATTTATCTTGCTCTTGCAGAAAGAGATGATCCCAACTCTTCTACAAAAGGAATGGAGAGAGACTACTTGCCCCCTTTGGGTCAAGGCCGTCCATCAAGTCACCCTAGTGTGCAATGCTCAAATGGAGACCCCATCGTGTAGAGTGTCAGTCGCCAGCGAAACTGGTAAGCTCCAGCCGAAAGCCGCAGCTCCCGATCTTGATCTTTTCTGAAGAGCTCCCCAAGCTCGATATCGGCAATGAAAGCGCCCTTGATGCACAGGCCTCAGTCAAACACTACCAGTGGGCCTGAGTGTCCCATCAGTAACTTGGTCTAGACTATTGAGCAATCTTGAGCTCAGCCGTCATGGCATCGCTCTACAGCAGAAGGATTCAGAAAGGCTCTGCCCCCACTAACGAACCAACCACAACCATGAATACCAATGCGCCAGAAAGCAGCTTGGTTCAAAACAGCTTTGGCTAGAGTATCCCGGCGCGCTTTCTTTTTTAAGCGGGGTGTTAGGAAGTGGCTATGACGTAGTAGAAAAAATTGCTTTCCGGTATGACTTCAGGCCCAAGAGCCAATCATTAGCTTCGCGGTTCGATTCCTCTAAACTCTAAATTCCTTGTCAAGTGGCCATGACGAAGCCAGCAAACATCAAACCGGAGAAGCGTTCGCATATCTCGCTCTGCCTGGTGCTTGGTGCGAAACGGAGCCCTTCATCTGATGATCTTCCGAAAAATGCCGAGTCCAGCCGCACGAGTGAAAGTTCTCTGAGCCAAGCAGTCAGCGCGTGACTTGCTGGAGCAAGGCGTGACTTGCCTTTGCTCCTTTTCTCAGCGCCTGCTTGACGCTAGGAGCTAGCTGCCTTGATCTTCTCAAACAACAAATATCGCAGCAGCTCCGCCACAACATCCACGCTAATCGAGTCGCCAATGAGCTTGTAGCCTCAAGCAATTGCGGTATCACGTTGCTTTCATATCAGGTGGAGAGCTAGGGCCAGCTACGGCCTCGGGGATTGCAATTTACCTTCCATTAAAACAATGAATGATGAGGTATTGTTGCTCATGCGGCATTCCAGACCTAAAGGATCCAATGATTTCCTACACGATCTTCTCCAAAAGGTATCCTTGTCTCATCGGTCAAATGTGTCCTTTTAGACATTGGACGGATCAAATATACATACTGTTTAATACATATGTAATATGTATATATATATATATAAATATCTTAGCCGCTCTTCGAACAGGTCTTTTGCTCTCCAAAGTCGAGTCACCTGT